AATAACATTGACAATAATTTCATTTATAACTCAATTAACAGAAAATAATTGAATTAGTCATTGGATCTTTTAAAAAGTTTTTTTCTGAAATAAGTATATTTAACCGATTTTTTTTTGTTTTGATTCGAAATAAAATGTTTAGGCTTCGTTAGGATTTCTCAAGGTAGTAAAATGATAATATCCATCACTAATAGACTTTTTAGTGAGATTTAGTACTTTTAAATTCGGTATAATTAAGTTCAACTTATGAACTTGCGAATAAATAAAGTAAGATCCATTATTGATGTTGTAAAGCTAAAAAACAGTATTTATTAAAAGTAACAATGACTAAAAGAAGATTACGAAGCTTAATACACACGAAGGACACATAATTACAAAACTACAAAAAAATTAAAAAGAGGGGCGTTTGATCAAATGAAAAAGTTGTTTTTTTACCTTTGATGGAAATCTCCGTGTATATGTAAGATTAGTTTGATCGTTAATATCATACCCATCTCCCAAAACCATTTATAAGAATATCAACTTGATATAAATGTGGCCGAATCTCTAAAATTATTGTTGGATGTTATTATCATCTCCCGTTTATACGTAGTCGAGGTGGCTAGGTATAATTGTGAATAGTGGGCTAATTATTTTCTTAAAAAAATGTGAGACAAATATTTGATAAATTTTGCCATGTCACATTTAAGAGAATGCCATGTGAAAATAAAATTGATGAAAATGATTCTAATGATGATAAATAAGCAAATTTGAGAAAATCATTTCTCAAATAATGTATAACGGATTAGAAGTATTCTATATGAAAATTCAAAGATAAATATCCCTTTTTGGTTTCTATTTTAGAATCTTGGTAATTTGTGATATGCAAATTAATTACGATAATGAATATTTCAACTTCGAATGTTTCATCAAAGTTTTTAAAATTCAATGGAATCTTAAATATTTAAAAGTAAAATGGCAAATTGGCGGGGAAACTTCTCGTTATTGTTATTTTTTGTTGTCACCTTTTTGTTTTTGTCTTACACTTTTACTTCTACGTTTAGGAAATACCGCAACTAATAGAAAAAAGGGAAATTCTTGGAATAGTTACCAAATCATGAAACTAAAAGGAAATAGGATTTACTTTTTTTTTTTGGTTTGACAACATGAAATAGAATTACAAAATCCTATATAACACTTATTTGTTCTCGTAAGCAATCCACTGATCCACATGAAAAACTAATCTCTCTTTGATAAGTACAAAATTCATCGATTTGATTACTAATCTCTTTCTCGACTTCGAGGAATCATGGCTTCTTTTGAGATGAACCAAGACATGACCATCGAGATTCTTTCTCACTTACCTGCTTCGGTTGTCCAAAAATTTAGAACCCTAAACAAAGAATGTAACAAAAGAACCTACGATTCTTCGTTTCTCAAACTCAATCTTCAAAGAACCAATTCGGTTTCCGGTTACTTCCTCGAGTACCGCGAAATACTAACGGTTCACTCTGCTTTTGTCAAAGATCTCGGAAACAGTACTCCTCATGGCTCCGAAGTCTCGCTCGATTTTCTACGACCGGGAAAAGTAAAGATTGAAGCTTGTGATGCAAGTCATGGGATTTTGCTTTGTGTTAATGATCGTCCGGTTAGAGGAAGAGAACCGGAGTATATCGTCTGCAAACCCACTACAAAACAATACTTGGTTATACCAAGACCCAAAACCCGGTATTTCACAATCGCACTCGGTTTAATGGTTATTAGATCTAACCCGATCCGGTATAAAATCCTCAGGCTCTCAAAATTGCCTTCGAAGGAGAATAAGCTGGACAACTTCAATCCCACTTTCGTATGTGAAGTTTTCGATTCGGATTCGTTTACGTGGAAGAGATTAACCAATGTGGAACTACCAGAAGACGACTTTCCAAAAAACTCTAAACCGGTTGCTTCGTATGGGTTCTTGCATTGGTTAACGACCAACAACAATGTGTTCCGGTTTAATTTCAAAACCGAAACTTGGTCAATTTTCCAGGTACCTGAGAATCTAGCGAGAGATAGATCTTTGAAATTGGCAAGATACGAAGGAAAGCTCGGAGTTATTAGCTCGAGATCGAAGAAAGGACTGGGATTATCAAGAGATATGGGTTTTAACGAGCAGTTTTGGTAATTCATGGGTCAAAGTGAAGGAGATTAAAAATACAGGGCTCGAACCTGTAGGATTCTCAAGCAACGACGTCGTAACGCTAGCTGACGTGGATCGAATCTGCTTATACAATATGAATAACGAGGAATCTCAGAATTTACAAATCAGGGCTCCAAATTTCTTCCCTTTGCACTATTCGACCATGAGTTATTTTCCTCTCTATTCTGATTTCGAGAGAGTTGAATTTAACCGGAGATTCAACGCTATCAACTGGCTAAGTGATTACGACGAGGAAATTCGAGGGTTAATGAAATGCATCTTTAAGTTAATTCTTTATTATGCTTTAACCATGTTAGCTTCGTATATGGAATCTTCGAACTCGATGTAAAATATTCAATTTTTTTGTTTATGAGTGGCTACATGATAGTCATCAACTGTGTATGAACATGTCTTTCATATCTCAAAAATTACACATTTTTGTAAATCTTGAAGTGAAATACGGGCCCATTTTATTATTTTATACCCATACTTAAATACCGGCCCATTTTAGAACTCTGTTTATTTACCTTCAATGTATAAAAATATATCTTACAATTTTTAAACCATTTCCAGGAAATTACAGTCGAAG